GCATCTGCGCTCAGGGCTGAGCATGGACCACATGGATGGTCACTGCTGTGTGTGGCAGAGGAAGGAGAGTTGTGGTGGGCTGTAGGGCACCAGGCCACCGTCCCTGCAGAACTGGCACTTGGCTGGGCCTCGAAAAGCAGGATTCGGCAGCGCCAGAGAGAATCGGGCCTTCCAGGCAGAGAGGAGACGAGAAGAGGCACTTGGGAGTCAGGTGTTCTGAAGTCAGAATCCTGCCCCTCTTTCTTGTTTGCTGCAGAACTTGGGCAAGTGATTTGCCCTTCTGAGGGTCAGGTGCTTTTCCTGTAAAAGAAGAATAGGGTCCACCCCTCAGGGCCACCTGGAGGAGGGAATGTGACATGGCATAAATTAATCCCACAAAGTTTGGTGTGATTGCTTTTTTCCTTAAAGATTTTATTTTTAAGTAATCTCTACACCCAGTGTGCGGCTCTCACTCACAACCCCGAGATCAAGAGTTGCCCGCTGCACCAACTGAGCCAGCCAGGCCCCCCAAGTTTGGTGTAATGCGTGTTTATTTTATTTATTTTAGGCAGAAAGGGGGATTGGGGTTTTAGCAGCCATAGTATACACAGCAGTCTAGGGCAAGAGCCCCCAGATCCCTTCCGCGCCCTTGTGCACCTGGTGCCCTCAGGCACACTGGGGCTCCACTCACCCTCCCTCCCTCCATGACGGTGGACCAGGCATCCCAGGCCCCCTCCCCCGGCTATCTCCGGAGCTGGACCCCTTTGAAGCGCCTGCAGGTCTATTTTGAGAGCTGAGCATTTCCCCCCTCCCCTCCTCTCTTCCTGTTTATGAAACCCTGATCCATCCCGGATCCCTCATGCTACACTGGCCGGAGCACAAGCAGGATGTGACTGTGGACTTCGGGGAGCCTTGGAAGCCTCAGGTGTTGGGGGGGAACTTCCCTTGGACTGGCCAGGGTAGGCTAGCCCACCCTCCCAGGTCCTGGAACCACGTGGCCGGGCTGTGTCCCTTCGGACTGCCCAAGGGAACTCTGCAGCAGGAAGACTGCCCATCTTATCAAGGGAGAAGTCCTGTTTACAACATCCCTTTGTCTCTGTGGCCCGCTTTATTTGCAACAGCCTTCCGAGGGTTGAACATTTAGTTTTAACCTCTGCTTTACAGAGGGGGAGACTGAGGCTCAGACAGGGAAGTGTATTTGCCTGGTAGCATTCAGCTAATGAGTGGACAGTTCTTAACTTCCTACCCTGTACTCCTGGCCTCAGCCTCTTCATGCTGGTGCCTCTCTACATGGAGTGTCTTTTTTTCCTCTTTTCTGCCTGGCCAACTCCTATTCATTCTCAGGGTTTAGCTGGACCGCCCTCTCTGTGGAAGGTACTTTGGGACCTCACCCTAGGCAGATAGTTACTGCCTCTGGGCACCTACAGCACCTCCACTGCAGCCTGAGAGTTGTGTTTTGTTATATATTTTCAAGAGCTGCCTGAGAACAAGGCTTGAGTCTGTGCCCCTCCTCCGATTGGCTTCCTGGCTTGGGGACCGAGCAGGAGCCCAGTATCTGTGAGCGATGCCCAAAGGGGAAATAGGCTCGCAGGGAGGGTGATAATGAAACGCTTGAGTGTAGGCTTCAGTCCCCCTTTCTAGCTATGTGGCCTTGGGCAAGTCACTTTCTGAGTCCAGTTTTCGCATCTCTGGAATGGGGTGACAGTATCTCCCTCGGAGCTAAGGCACAGGGCCTGGCAGAACCCATACCGGTAGAGGCTGAAGGAAAGGATGACCCTGGTGCAGTATTTGCTCAGTTTGTAAGGAGCACAGTTCTCGTCGTCACTCATGCCAGGCCTGGCCCAGTGCAGCAAGGCCACCTGGGAACTGTGGCCCCCTCCTCACCTCCCCAGAGGCCTGCTAGAAGACATAGCCAGAGCTATCTATCCTCCCAGAGGGGGCGGGCCTGGGAGGCCCTGCCTGTACTGCCAGCCGGGGAAGGGGCTGTGGGTGTCCGTTACAGCCAGAATTGGCAGCTGGGCTCCAGCTGGTGGAGGGAGGCCTGGGGTGGGGACCCTGGGGACCAGGGATCAGGCCAGGGGGCTCTGGGCTTCTCTCCCAGCTGCCCTGTGGGAGGAAGTAGATAAGAGGAAGTATCTATAGGGGGGAATGGGGCAGGGACCAAGGGATGTGGTCTGGTGCCTGTCCTCCCCCACTCCTGCCACCAGAGGCCTCACAGCCCCAGCACATACCCTTCAGCGAAGGCAGCTCTGAGACTGTTTCCTTCCTGTTGCCCCTTCCTGTACCCTGCTGGCCACAGAGTCTTCCTTTGCTTCTGAGGGATTTGAGGGTTGGTGGGGGGCCCAGCTGGCTCTGGCCCAGAGCACTTTGGGGCTCCCAGGGCCGTCCCATCCTCCAGACCCCTGCCTGCAGAAGCTGGGTGCAGCGAGCTGTCTGTCTAAGGAGACGTCTTTCACAACCCGCGGCAGGCCGTCATCAGGCTGTCGTTGGAGCCCCTTTGAGGACTGGAAGGGGAAGTCCGTGTGTACGTGGGACCGTGTGTTTCCACATGTCTGTGGAAATGGTTTCCGATCATCAGCCTGTTTATATTTGTGGGCGTGCCAGTTCCTGTGGGTGTACTGGTGGGACTGGTGCGGCCAGGCCACGTGGAAGGGGGCTGGGCCTGGTCAACCCCTGCCCTACTGCTACCTGCTCCTTCTCTCAGACTTCTGTGAGGTCCTTGCTAGGCCCTTTTGCCCACCCCCCCCCCCCCCCCCCCCCACCCATCCCAGGGCCCTGGACCGGCGGGCTTCTGCAAGGCAGGTCTGGGGGCGGTGCTGCCTGTGCTGTGGGCTGCCATTTTGGGTGGGCCCAGCCATAGGAAGGTCACTATGGGGGGAAGAAGCTCCTGCACTCTGGGCTGGGGCATTCAGAGTCTGTGGCCTTGCTGACTTCTGCCCCACATTCTCTCAAGGGGATGTTTGCAGGTGCTGGGATGCCCAATGTGTCGCTGCCTCATTGCTTTGTGACTTTTATCTGTGTTCTAGTCTCCCCTCCTTAGGATCAGAGGAGTCGAGGAAGGATTTATCCCTGGGCCCCCCCGGAGTCATGGGCTTGGGGTCTACAATGTCCCCTCCTCAGCAGGGGAGCCTGACCCATCTTCTGTCCCTCCTCCCTGCAGAGGGGGAAGTGAGAAGGAGGGGGTCAGGGACCCTGCCTTCTGGGCCGGGAAGGCTGAAAAAGCAGAAGTAGACGAGTAACAGGGCCCTCTGGCCACCGGCTTGAGCCCCACCATGCAGACCCCGGCAGATTTCCCCAGGGTTGAGAGAGACTCACTCCCCTGTCCCAGAAAGGTGAGCAGAGGGTTGGCCTGCCTCCAGCAGCGTCTGTCACCATGACCCTGGGCAAGGAATGGGTTTGGGAGTGGCTTTGTCCCCTGGGGTTTCCGGGTGACTGCTTCTGTCCCGAGGGAGTGTTCTCAGAGGCAGACAGGCAAGTGGAGGCTCAAACCTCAGGGCGGGGTGGGCAAGGGTTGCTGTGTGGCTTTGGCTCACCTCAGCCCCTCTCTGAGCCAGGCTTTCTGCCTGTCCCACACAGGGTTATACTCAGGGGCCTGATTAGCATGCAGCTTCTTAGAGCTGCAGCTTTTGTGACTGTTCAAGGTCCCCTGAAGATGGGGCTGTGTCTGTCAGGGTCTAGACCTAGAATGGGAAGTCCCTGGACCGACCCCAGTACTGAGGGAGGGGGTGGGCTTGGATGGGCAGGGCATGGCTCTGACTGACTTACCTGCCCACCCTTTCCTGGCACTTGAGGCCCGCTGACCCCAGGCCAGGCAGTAACTGGAGGAAGGATTTGAGTTTAAGCCTGCTCTGCCACTGGTTCACTTTCGGCCTGGGTGAGTCACTGTCCTCTGGGCCTCGGTTTCCTGTTTCTGAAATGGGGATAACAGCTTTTGGGAAATTGGGATCAGAGTCAAAGCCATCGGATTGCATTCAGGAGATGTTCCTCTCAGTCCACTATCTTAGTCCAGGGCCCTGGCATAGGAAGAGACCTCAGAGGTGTGTCTGCCACAAATGTTGGACTGTCCCCCCCAGCGCTGGGTGTTTGCAGGTGATGTCTCTGCACCTCTTTTCCCACCCCCTGGCAGACCAGCAAGAACCCAGAGCTCTGCCATTGAGTCCAGGGTCTGACTTTCTGCATGTCTTTCCTGCCTGTGTGTGTGGCTTGGGTATCTGTCAGTCTACTTGGGCCTCACTGTCTCTTTCTGCCACCCACCTGCTTCTGTTCCTGTTTCTGTCTCCATTTGATGAGTGCCTATCTTCACCTGTTGGGTACATCTCACATGTCGGGTGCCTGTTGGGTTGTGTCCCCTTCTGTCTCTGCCTGTTGAGTACGTTTCCCATCTGTCTCCACCTGTTGGATGCAAGCCCCCATCTGCCTCTGCCTGTTGGGTCCCCATCTGTCTCTGCCTGTTGAGTTTGTATCCCCTTCTGTCTCTGCCTGTTGGATATGTGTCCCCATGCACCTCTGCTTGTTAAATATGAGTTCCCTCCTGCCTCTGCTTGTTGGGTACTTGTTGGATATGTATTCTTCCTACCTCCCCTTGCTGGGCATGTGTCCCTATCCATCCCTGCTTTGTGGGCATGCGTCTCTGCCTGTTAGATGCCCACCTTCATCTGTCTTTACCTATTGATGCCTGCCTCTGCCTGTTGGGTGACCCTCTTATCTGCCTCTACATGTTGGGTGTCTGTCTTTGCCTGTTGGGTACCTGTCTACCCCTCAGCAGCTGGGTTGGCCTGGGGCTTTCCCTTTGGGACCCACAAGGAGGGTTGGGGGGAAGGGCCTGAGGGCAGCCCTCAGGCAGTGGGGAGGGGGGAAAAGAGAGGAAGGGAACGTGGTGAGATTGTAGGCCTGGAGCTGGGAAACCACAGGCCCTGAGTGATTGGCGGCCCTGAGCAGGGCCCAGCCCCCGCCCTCACCCTGCACATCCGCCTTGGGCCTGGCCACCTCCGAGGCAGCCCCTGACGCTGCCTGCTCCTGCCATGGTGCCTCGGCCCTGCCGGGCGAATGGAGCAGGATCCCAAGCCGCCCCGCTTGCGGCTCTGGGCCCTGCTCCCCTGGCTGCCCAGGAAGCAGCGGCCCAGGATCAGCCAAACCTCTCTGCCTGCCCCTGGCCCTGGCTCTGGCCCCAGGCAGGACTCGGTGAGTGTGCCCAGATGTCTGGTCTTGGCCTGGCTATGGCCCTTGGAGCAGGTGCCTGGGCAGCCAGTTTGGCCTCAGTTGGCTGTGGACTCTCCAAGCCCAGGCCTGGCCCTGCTGGATGACTGGACCCTGCCCAGGTTTGCTTCCTAGGGAAGTGAGGAGGCACTTCGGGGCTCTAGGGCAATACCAGCAGATTGGAGGGAGGGCAGAAGGGTCCTAGAACAGCTAAGACCGGGCAAGGGGTTTTCAGTAGACTTCTATGAAGGAAGTTTCTATGGGTGAATCGTGGAGTCTCTGGGCTCTGCTCCTTTCTACCCCAGACTGGCACTTGGGTTGGCCGGGGGAGCCTCTGGTGACTTTTGGGTCCCTGTGCGTCTCAGCCCTGTCCCCCTGGCCAGAAGGGTCCTGTCATCCATTCTGACCAGGAACAAAAGCCCAGCTCTACCTCCCCAGTCTGAGCACAAACTCTACTTCCTATTGAGGCAGAACCAAAACCTTTGCAGCAGGGGAGGGGAGCCCCACAGGGAGGGCCTGCACAGAGCTTTGGGCCTCAGCCAGAGCCTGGGGTTGGCTCCACCTGGCTGTGCCTGGGCATCCCTTTGGGCGTCTCCAGGCCAGCACAGCTGGAGCAAGAGGAGCAGTGCCTCACCTGACTCAGCACCTTGGTAGTTTGACCCTCCCCGGCCCTTGAGGCCCTTTTGGTATTGATGAGCCAGGAGGCTGGCCCCTTCAGCATAGCTGTCTGGTGCTGCTGGCAGGGCCCTGTCTGCTGAGGTCTAGTGGGAGCGGGCTTGGATGGGGACCATTCCCCCGGCCGGCCCAGATGAAACCCACCATGCCCACCAGCTCTATCCCTCTATCAGGATGAGGGCATCCTCAAGGAGATCTCCATCACGCACCACGTCAAGGCTGGCTCTGAGAAGGCCGACCCATCCCATTTTGAGCTGCTCAAGGTTCTGGGCCAGGGATCCTTTGGCAAAGTGAGTTCTGAGCCCACAACTGGGAGGGCAGCACTGGTCATGTCAGAGGTGGGGATGAGGGGTCACCCCGGGGCTCAGGATCTGAGGGCAAGGGTTGGTGGGTCTGAGGGGAGGACAGGAGGTCACCTTGGTACCCAGGGAGGGCAAAAGGTCAACCCAGGACTCGGGGACGTCAGAGGTCAGCCTGTGCCCTGGAGGATGGAAGCTGATGGGCTCGGCCCCCCTCCCCAGCTTCTCCTCTGCTTTTTCCCCACTGCTTTCTCAGGTCTTCCTGGTGCGGAAGATCACCCGACCTGACAGTGGGCACCTGTATGCCATGAAGGTACTAAAGAAGGCAACGCTGAAAGGTGAGTGGAGGTCCCCTTCCCATGTAGAGCCCAGACTGGGCCCAAGATTGTGGGAGACAGCCCAGCTCTCAAGGTGTTGGGTCTGACAGAGAAGGCAGTTCTATCTCCAGGAGTACCTGGTCTGAAGGTAGAGAAACAGGCCTGTCCTCAGCCACCCCTTACTCCCTATCCCACCCCATTGCAAAGACAGGGTCCCTTTTGAAGAAAAGACTTCTGGGGAATAACCGCATCCTTCCCCTCCCCCACCCCCAAGCCAGCCACCAATTACCATAGCTGAAGGTGAATGTCTGGAAGGAGGCAGGGGGTGAGTGCAGTATGTTTGTGGCAGGGGCCTTCACACCCCTGGTACTCAGGTTACTTGGGCAGAGTTGCTTCATGAGGGAGACCTCTCAGGGTGGAGAAAGGTGTTGGGGAAGAGGCAGGGAGTCCAGGCAAGCAGCTAGGGCAGGCAGGAGAGAGTGAGTTGAGGCAGGGCCACAGAGATGGACAGCAGGGAGGTTCAGAAGGGAGCCCAAGGCCAGGTCTAGAATTCCACGGCTCACAAAGTGTATTGCTGTGGTTGGTAGTGGACTCTGGGCTGGCAGTGACCCTGACCAGGTGGAGTAGGCCCTGGCTGAGGGGAGGGAGGGAGGATCAGAAGTGTTGCCCTTAGGGACTTTAGGGGTCATGTGGCCCATAAAGTGCTGTCTGTGGGGTACTGTGGTTTTGGTGCCCTAAGGCCAGGCTGGTAGGGGTAGAAGTCATTCCCTAGCAGGGGTGATGGGAGCCATGAGGGAAAAGGATGAAGGACTTGGTCACTGCTGTGAAGGTCCCCAGGCTGGGGCGGGAGTGGCTGTGTTGACCCTGCAGCGTGGTGCACTTGGTGCTGTGAGTGAGAAGCCCAGGGGAGAGTGGGTTGCAGCCTCACCGAAGGAGTAGCCATTTGAGCTGTGCCTTGAAGGATCAGTGAGCAGTTCTCCAGAATGAAAATAGTAGAGGGAGGGTTCCCCAGGAAGGAGGAGCTGTTGACCCGAGCAAAAGTGTAAAACATGTAAGGTATATTTGGCCAACAGCGGCAGGAATAGTTAACTCCAGCATGGTCCATGCCACACCTGGCAAGGGAAACGAAAAAATTAAAATAGAAGGCAAAAAGTGCTCTGAAGGGGCAAGCACGAGCCCTGCAGGAGAGAGAGCCCTAATTTAGCTTGGCAGTTTAAGGAAGACTTCCTGGAGGAGACGAGGCCTGAGCTGAGTCAAAGAAGAACCTGCTGGTGATCAGAATGCCTAGGGACTTTCATTCGTTTAAAAAAAAAAAAAGTATGTGGGGGTGTCTGCTCAGACACACGAGTCTGAATTTTAGGCCCAATGATTCTGCCTAACTAGCTCCCAAGTGACTGTTCTCTCCATCCCCCCAGACTGGAATTAGGGATTTTTGTGCCAGGTGAGGAAGGGTCTGGTAAAGGCATCCCAGGGGGAGCCTCAGGAGCAGAGGCTAAGGGCACACAGGACAAAACAGGTTGCTGAGATTGGCTGGATTGGATGGCCCTTGATGGGGGCTGGGGGGAGAGAGAGGGCGAGAGGGATGGGCAGGGGGCTAAGGGCCCAGCCCTGAGTACTGCCATGTAATGTGAGGAACTCGTGGAAAAGAGAGCCCTTCTTAGGGCTTGGGGCTGACTCTTTAGGGGGAGGGGCTAGACTCTTAGTGACTGTCTTTCTCTTCTGGCCAGTGCGTGACCGTGTTCGGACCAAGATGGAGAGAGACATCCTAGCTGATGTAAACCACCCGTTTGTGGTGAAGCTCCACTATGGTGAGACCGCAGTCCACTTGAGTTCGCAGCCTACTTGAGTTCGCACCCTGCCTGCCAGCCTTTGCCTTTGCCTGTGGGCCACTGCCTTCCCCGTATGTTGCCCCCACCCCCCAGCAGGCCAAGGGAGCTTAGAGTAAAGGGGCAGGGCCCAGGACCCAGCTGGCTCCACCATCGCCTTTTCCCCTCTCCCCAGCCTTCCAGACTGAGGGAAAGCTCTATCTTATTCTGGACTTCCTGCGAGGTGGGGACCTCTTCACACGGCTCTCTAAAGAGGTGAGCTAACACCCCACTGCCCCAGGGCCCCGAGATGGAGCTGGAGGGACAACGAGGCATCCCATCCCAGAGCGCTGTGAACAACCTGTCTGGTGTGGCTTGGACCTGGGACCACCCAGGCCTGCCTAGCAGTCCCTGGCCCAGGAACTGACACCCAGTGTCACCCTGGGACAGAGCGTACAGCTTGGCAAAGCCTTCGTTCCTCCCAAGATGGGTGAGGAGGATCAGGCCCTGGGTCTCCTTGATTCCCAGGAGCTAAGGGATCTTTCATCTCTCTGCCTCCATTCTTCCAAGGCTGCCCTGGGCAGGACTGTGAAGATGGGCAGAAGCTTAAATCCACCCAGAAAGTTAAATATTTTAACATTATGTCCCATGTGTTAACCAAAAGGATTTTAACTGACATAAAAGAATTCGAGCCAGATATAAAAATGGGACCATTAATACAAGTCAAACTTTAGAAGAGAAACAAACTTTAAAAGAAAAAAATTTTTTTTAATTTTTTTTTAATGTTTATTTATTTTTGAGAGAGAGAGACAGAGAGACAGAGTGCAAGCGGGAAGGGACAGAGAGAGAGGGAGACACAGACTCTGAAGCAGGCTCCAGGCTCTGAGCTGTCAGCACAGAGAGCCTGACGTGGGGCTCGAACTCACAAACTGTGAGATCATGACCTGAGCCAAAGTCAGACGCTCAACCCACTGAGCAACCCAGGCACCCCTAAAAATTTTTTAAATGTTATTTTAATGTTTGAATAGGCAATACACTCACATGATTGAAAAGTAAAATGTCGGGGCGCCTGGGTGGCTCAGTCGGTTGAGCGTCCGACTTTGGCTCAGGTCATGATCTCGCGGTCTGTGAGTTTGAGCCCCGTGTCGGGCTCTGTGCTGACAGCTCAGAGCCTGGAGCCTGTTTTGGATTCTGTGTCTCCCTCTTTCTCTGACCCTCCCCTGTTCATGCTCTCTCTCTCTCTGTCTCAAAAATAAATAAAATGTTAAAAAAATTAAAAAAAAAAAAGAAAAGAAAAGAAAAGAAAAGAAAAGAAAAGAAAAGAAAAGAAAAATGCCATTGAGAAACCTTCCTCCCACCCCAGTCCCTCTACCCGCCATAGGTAAACACTTATACTGATTTCTTGTTTAAGCGCCCCATGTTTCTTTGGTAATACAACCCATTCTGATACATGTTCTGAATTCCAACCCCCATTTCCTTACATAAAAAGTACTAATCTATGTATCTGTTCTATATCTTGCCTTATTCAAGATAGCAGATCATGGAGATGGATCCATATCAGAACATGGAAGTTTCCTTGTTCTAGTTTATGGCTGCATAGCACTCCATTACACATGGGAGTAATGGAGTCTTCTCCCAGTCTTCTGCCCAACCCTTTTGCTATTTCCAAACAATGCCTCAATGAGTGACTCATATGTTAATCATGTCATACCTCAAACCCCTTTACATATTGTTTTAATTTTTATTTATTTTTTCATTGTTTTAACGTTTATTTTTATTTTAAAAAAAAAAAAATTTTTTTTTCAACGTTTATTTATTTTTGGGACAGAGGGAGACAGAGCATGAACGGGGGAGGGGCAGAGAGAGAGGGAGACACAGAATCTGAAACAGGCTCCAGGCTCCGAGCCATCAGCCCAGAGCCCGACACGGGGCTCGAACTCACGGACCGCGAGATCGTGACCTGGCTGAAGTCGGACGCTTAACCGACTGCGCCACCCAGGCGCCCCAATAACGTTTATTTTTAAAGAGAGACAGTACGAGTGGGGGAGGGACAGAGAGAGAGAGGGAGACCCAGAATCTGAAGCAGGCTCCGGGCTCTGAGCTGTCAGCACAGAGCCTGACGCGGGGCTTGAACCCACGAACCGCGAGACCATGACCTGAACTGAAGTCGGGCACTTAACCGACTGAGCCACCCAGGTGCCCCTCGTACCCCTTTATACAGAGCATGGTGTGTGGCCCTGGGGTGTCTAAGGGTCCTCCCCGAGGTGGGCTGCCAAGACCAGGAAGCTGCTGACTGCAGTACCTGAGCTCCTGAGGAAGAGGCAGTCGCAGCTGGCGTCCCCTCCCGCCTGTCGTAGGTTATGTTCACAGAGGAGGATGTGAAGTTTTACCTGGCTGAGCTAGCTTTGGGCCTGGACCACCTGCACAGCCTGGGCATCATTTACAGAGACCTCAAACCTGAAAAGTGAGTGAAGCCCCAGCTCCACCCCAGCCTCCCTAGCCAGGGCAGAGGCAGGCCTTGGGGTCTCTCCTGACAGGGGTGGGTGTAACTCTCCCCAACAAAGTCTCCCTGTGTGTGGCCGCCCCGTGGATAGGTGGGTGGGACGGGTGGTGGTGGCAGCAGGGCCCTCTTAGGGGTCTGCCTAATTACCAGTGTCCGTTAAAAGGGCTGGACACCTCCTTGCAGGTACGTTGCCTACATTTTTTTTTTTTTTTTGCTAATCCAGTGCGATGTCTGAGATGCCACCACTAAAGGTCATTCTTTGTTTGATACGGTCCTCTCTAGAATTTTCCTGAATATCTAAACATCCTCAAATGGTAACTTGACAGCCAGGGGCAGGTGCTGGGCTGAAATGAGATCTGACTTTAGAGTTAGGCAGACCTGAATTCAAATCTTGTCTCCGTCACCTTTTAGCTCTGTGACCGTGGGGTGTTGCTTGACTTCCCTGAGCTTTAGTTTCCTCGTTGTTAAAATAGGGCCATAATAGCACCTACCTCATCCAGTTGTTCCGAGGATTAGCAAAGAACACAGGCCACACATCTGCATGGCACCACCACCACCCTGCTCCACCTGCCATTTACCGGATGGATCTGGGTGGATCGCCTTCTCTGGGCTGGGCCCAACCCCCACGGCCCCCTTGGTGTCACCAGAACCCAAGGGGCCACAGCTGAGGGGCCCCAACTCCCATCTCTCCATTACAGCATCCTTCTGGATGAGGAGGGCCACATCAAACTCACCGGTGAGTAGAAGGCACCTGCCCCCTCAATTCCCAGGGGAGGTCAGGATGGGCTCTTGACGGGCCTGGGCTGAGCACTAGGGGATCCATTCTTCCCGAGAGGCTGTGCCAGGCACTCGGAAGTGATCAAAAGCCCAGACCCTAGACTTGGGATGGCCTGGGTATGAACCCCAGCCCCATGGGAGTGATGCCCTCAGGCCTGTGGGCAGGGGGCTTTGGGTGTGCAGGGGTTGGCAGCAAGGAAGGCAAGGGGAGGGTTCCTAAAGATGTGTCCTCTTGCCCTCCTTGCCACAGACTTTGGCCTGAGCAAGGAGGCCATTGACCATGAGAAGAAAGCCTATTCCTTCTGCGGGACGGTGGAGTACATGGCCCCCGAGGTCGTCAACCGCCAGGGCCACACCCACAGTGCAGACTGGTGGTCCTATGGGGTGTTGATGGTGAGTGGCCAGACAGGGGAAAAGCATTCAGCCCATGCCTCAGGCCTCAGTTTTCTCATCTGAACAGTGAGGGGGTTGATAGTCTCTAAGACTTCCTCCTATCTTCTCCCAGCCAAGCTGCCTCAACGTCCACCCAGCTGCAGTTTCCTTCCTTAGGAAGATTCCAGGCTTGGCCCCACCTGGGCTGCCCCCACCCCAGGACTGGGCCTCTCCTCAGCCTCAGGCCCCTAGTCCTGCTTTCGGTGTTCTGATTGACAAAGGAACCAGAGACAGTCACAATTCTCGATCCAGGTGGTCCTGCCACAGGCCAGCAGGAATCCTGGGAGTGAAGCTGAGTGGTTTGGGTGGGAGGAGGTGGGGGACATGGGAGATGGAGACCAGAGCCTAACAGACCCTTGTCTTTTACAGTTTGAGATGCTGACGGGCTCCCTGCCCTTCCAGGGGAAGGACCGGAAAGAGACCATGACACTGATTCTAAAGTAAGCACCAGCCCTGCCCTGACACCTCAGGGTCTCCCCTGATGTCTGGCCCCGGTTTGGGGGCCAGAATAATATCCTGTACCTGCCTCAGATTTCCCCATCAATGAGACCCTCCTCTGGGCTAAGCATTATGCTTTCTGGGGCCCCCTTTTCATCCATCAGGGCCTGTGGGTGGGGAATCCCTGAAGTCTTTGGGAGGTGAGTTAGTGGATGGTTTGTCTGGATTGAGCTGGAAATTAGACCTGGACAGAGCGGGGAGGGGAGATGGGCCTCTGGGGCGGGCTCAGCCCTGATGAGACCTGGGGGCTGTTTTAGGGCGAAGCTAGGCATGCCCCAGTTTCTGAGCACGGAAGCCCAGAGCCTCCTGCGGGCCCTGTTCAAGCGGAATCCTGCCAACCGTCTCGGTAAGCAGCTCCAGCTTGGGAGGGGAGCGGGGTACAGCTGCAGCCTAGGCCACAGCGTCACATCTGGGGCTGAAAGGGGCCGTTGTCCTTTGTGTGGGCAGACAATGCCGCCGGCCACCCTGCTTTCTGGCTCCATGTGTGGTGTTTGGGGCGGGGGGGGGGGGGGGGGGGGGGGGTGACCTGTGTATAAGGGGAAGGCAGGAACTGAGTCATCCCTACTCCCCCTGGGGACAAGGACAGAGGCCCCCACACAGGTCCGCCAAGGCTGCTGGCACAAGAGAAGGAATGAGCTCAGGAGTCAGAAGGCTCAGGTCCCAATCCTGTCCCCATGGCAGGTCCTCACCGCCCTGCACACAGTGGTTCCTCCATAAATATTTGTTGAGTGAGTGCCATTTATGAGCTAAGTGACCCAAGGCAGTTGACTTCACCTCCCGGAGCTCTGGGTCCTCGTCTCCACGGGAGATGATCCAGATCCCTCTTGACTGAATGCAGTTGCATGAACATGCCTGGCATGTAGTAGCTTTTCAGTATGTCTCGGCCCCTTGGATCCTGGGTTCATCTGGACCATGACCAGCTTTGTAAGGTCCCAGTTCAGGTCCCTGGGGTCGAATGGAGTGAGAGTCTGCCTGGTGGCTGAGAAGGGCAATGGGATGGATAAAAGCGATAGAGATGAGGCCTGGGTTGAGAGGGAGATGGGAGTCCCCTGCAGATGTCAGAATAAGTCTGATTTCTGTTCTCTGTGGCCTTGGACAAGTTGCCTGACCTCTCTGGGCCTTTCTCCTTCCATGAGTACATTTGGAGCTTGATCATAACGGTCTCCAGAAAGTGGAAAACGCTGAGTGGGCAGAAGGCCTCTGGGGTGACGGCTGGGTGGATTTGGGGCGGGGAGAGCCTATCGTCCCCCCTGCTCCCAGTAGACAGCTGCAGCCGCTGGTCCCAGACCACGGTGAGGTCACTCAGCAGACAGGGTGGGTGTCTGGGGGTTGGACCATCCAGGGGCAGACCCCTCGTCTGGGCTCTTTCAGGCTCCGGCCCTGATGGGGCAGAGGAAATCAAGCGGCATGTCTTCTACTCTACCATTGACTGGAATGTGAGTGTGTCTGTCCACCCCACAGCCTCAGTCAGGGCTTCACCGGTGGTGGGAGGGGGCTTCCTCCGATGTGGAGCAGAGGGTGACAGCATGGCCTTGGAAGCAAGGGCTGGCCTCCCCCGGGCAAGCAATTATGCACCCCCCCCCACCCCACCCCGTCTGTATAGCCTGCATAGGCAGGGCTAGTTACCTTCTCCTGCCTGAGGCTCCTGGTGGGTTGTTGGGGGTGGGCCGTGGTGACCGGAGTGGCCACCTCACCTTGCAGAAGCTGTACCGTCGCGAGATCAAGCCGCCCTTCAAGCCAGCCGTGGCACAACCTGATGACACCTTCTACTTTGACACTGAATTCACGTCCCGCACACCCAAGGGTATGTTGGTTGTCTGGCTTGTCTTGGGCTGGCACAGGAGGGAAGCAGGGAGTCAGGGACCCCTTGGGATGTAGGGTGGTCAGGGACTCTGGCAGGCCCAGGTGTGTGGGCAGACTGAAGGGTGGGTCTCTGACTCTTTGTCCCCATCTCATTCTGCCTGACTCTCCCACTCCAGGGCTCTATGGGCCTCTTTGTATGTGAGTGAGGGGGTGGGGGGAGTGGGTGGTTAAGGCCACAATAGAAAAGTCAGGCCCCCTGCCCCGGGCATCTTCCAGCCCACTGGGAAGACCAAACACATCGGGCTCACACTCACGTCAGGGCTAAAGAATCTGACCCAGCAAAAACATGAGGTGGAGACAGTCTGTCAGAGCAGAGGTGACAGCGCCCACAGGTCAGGGGCAAGTGTGGGAAACGCCTTTGGCTGCTCTGATCACTGGACCTCAGTGTGTTCATCTAGAACATGGGCTCGGTCACAGACCCACTCAGTCCCTGGGGTTATTGCAAGAAGCCAAGGAGGGGGCTTCTGGGAGGGAGTTTGGTAAATCCCAATATTCTGGTCAGATATCGGGGGTTAGTGTTAGTTCTGGAAGGCTTCCCGGATGGATGGGTTTTAGCAGAAGGGCTGCTCTTCTCACTGTGGGTTGCACAGCTCTGATGACAGGGAGCTTAGCACTTCGCAAGCAGTTGGTCTCATCTTTATTTGCTTACCTGATCAGTACGTACCAGCTTCCTACTGTGTGCCCCTGATCAGCCATGAGGGGATTGCCCCGCCTCCTATGGCCTAGACTGTGGTCGGGGGAGAGGTATGAAAACTCTACTGGGAGGTGTGGCAAGTGCAGCTTCATAGGGGTGAGGAGTTGGAGGAGCAGGCTCAGGCAAGGCTTCTCAGAGGAGGGTGTGCCAGCTGAACCGTGAAGGACAGACAAACAGTAGAGTATCTGGTCAGAGGGAACGGCATGTGCGGTGGCTCAGGGTCTCCTTTAAGGATCTGGGAAGTCTGGCGTGGCTGAGCTGTAGAGTGGGAAGAGAGGAGGCTAAGATCATAAGGACCTCAGTCACCAGGCTGAGAAGTTGGGCTTTTGGGCTTTCTTCTGGGGCAGAGAGGAGCACTTGAAGGGTCCTGGCAGGGGGTAGATTTGCAGCTGGGACCATCCCTCCCACTGCCTGGGCAGAAGATGGACCTGAAGGGGCAGACCCGAGGCAGTGAAGCAAGGGGGAGGCTTCCAGAAAGGGATGAAGTGTCTTGGCCTGGGCCGAATGCCCATCGTGGGGTGTCTTTTATGTTTCTTGTGTGTCAGGGCTGGGCTGGTCTAAACGCACACAAACACATGGCCTAATTGAGGTCTGGCACGAGAGGCCTGCCCAAGCCCTCTCCACAGCCCTGGTCTCCCTTTTCTGGGCTGCCTCGGGGTCAAGGGCACCTTCTCAGGGTCACATCCCCCTCCCACCCCTGCAGACTCCCCAGGCATCCCTCCCAGCGCTGGCGCCCATCAGCTGTTCCGTGGCTTCAGCTTCGTGGCCACTGGCCTGATGGAGGATGATGGCAAGCCTCGGCCCACGCAGGCACCCCTGCACTCCGTGGTACAGGTGAGGGGGCAGGAGACTGCTGCTCCGTTGTCTTTTCTACCCAGAAGCCACAAAGGCAGAGAACACAGGCTCTAGAGTTCAACCTCTGATTGCCACCGCGTAGCCCATTGGACCTCCAAACCTCCTTGGGCCCCACTTTTTCCGTTTGTAAAACAGGGATGGCAACATGGATATAACAGATTTCCTAGCACAGAGCCAGGGACGTTGTGGAGCCTGGAGAAATAAATGCGAGGCGGTGCCCAGGGTGGTGGTGCTGTGGGGTGGCTGTCAGATCCCTGACGGGGACGGGTGGCAGAGGGCTCGTGTGTCCTCACACTTGTCCCCCATTAGTACACTTTCCGTGGGAGATTTAGAATTCAGAGGCATGAGGGTAGACTCTGGAGCCCATTGTCCAAGGTAAGGGACTTTGGGCGAGACACTTACCTTCCCAGTGCCTCAGTTTCTTCATCTGTAAATGGGGGTGATGATAGAACTTTTCTCCATAGGTTGTTGCATGTGTAAAATTAAGGTGACTGTGTAATTTATTCTACAACTGGGACATCTTTGTCTGGGACAAATATTAAACCAGACCGGATACAAGGACAACAGGCGTAAACCAGGGCTGTCATAATGGCGTGTGGTCACCTGCCGTAAAGTGCTGAGAGCAGTGCCTGCCGCACATAAGCACCACAGAAGCATTTGCTGTTGTTAATGTCTCAGAACTTTTAGACACATCATGACGTGGGCTGTGATGCCCCAGAAGGGGGGAGGCAACTCGTCTAAGTTCACAGGATGTGGCAGAGCCGAGACCCAGCTCAGGGCTCCCGTGTCTCTCAGGCCTACCCAGCTTTCTCAGAGCCACAGACCCCTCGATGCGTGTGTTGCGTTTCTGTTGACCACAGTGCGGGAGCCAGTGAGTGTGCCCGTATAGAGTAGAAAATTGAGCCCCAGAAGCCAAGGCCTTGGGTACTGGGGGACGAGCCCTGCATTCTAGAGCAGAGGGCCAGCCCCACCTGTTGGTCTTCTGCAGCAACTCCATGGGAAGAACCTGGTTTTTAGCGATGGCTACGTGGTAAAGGAGACGATTGGTGTGGGGTCCTACTCCGTGTGCAAGCGCTGTGTCCATAAGGCCACCAACATGGAGTATGCTGTCAAGGTGGGCCTCTTGACCACGTCTCGGCCTAGGCTGCTGGGCCAGGGGGAGGCCACTGTAGCCTCAGTCCTTCGGTGGGAGTTGGGGGATGAGTTGGTGCCCTAGGCCCTGTGGGTGGGTGGAAGGCATGTGGCTAAGACCCCCAAGCCCTGCAGTGTGGGCTCCGTGGCAGGGAGGGACTCTGGAGACTGTCCCCCTGATATCTCCCATGTACCCCCTTTCCTCAGGTCATCGACAAGAGCAAGCGGGATCCCTCAGAAGAGATTGAGATTCTTCTGCGGTATGGGCAGCACCCCAACATCATCACTCTGAAAGATGTGAGTGGGGGTCCTTGAGACTGAGATGGGGGCTGGGAACTTGACTCCGGGATCTATCTCAGGACTGTCATTCCTTTGATTTCTGATTTTCCTCTGCTCCTGGGAGCGAAGGATCTCTGTGCCTCGGGTCTGGTGATGCCCCAAGGCCGTCCACTTCAGACTCAGGCATCCTCTGACAGCTTCCCTGACCCTCGGGGGACCAGTGCCAATCTCCTCCCGTCTAGGGGGAGGACAGAGGCCCATATAGGTGAAGGCCCTGCCAGGACCATGGAAGCACAGAGCAGAACCCACGTCCAAGGCTCATGTTATTCTTTCCTGGCCCAGTGAACCGGTAGCTGAGGGCCCCCGGCCTGGCACGGAGGGGAGGGACCTGACGGTGAGGTCTCTGGCAGGTATACGATGATGGCAAACATGTGTACCTGGTGACAGAGCTGATGCGGGGCGGGGAGCTACTGGACAAGATCCTGCGGCAGAAATTCTTCTCAGAGCGGGAGGCCAGCTTTGTCCTACACACCATCAGCAAGACCGTGGAGTACCTGCACTCCCAGGGGGTAAGTCTGGGGTAGGGGGCGCCCGGTGGGGATGGCGGGCCACCAGGGGTCATACCAACAGTAGGGTGCATGAACCGTGGGCTGGCCCAGGCAGTAGCTGTCTTCAACCAGCCAGACCATCCCTAGGGAGACTAGGGATGGTGGGTGGGTGAGCAGACAGATACGAGGAAGGGAAACAGCTAGAGATGAGGCCGGATTGTGACACGGAGTGTCTACACCGTGCTTACTGTATGCCCTGCACCGTGCCAACTTGTTTCCTTACGTTACCTCAATTGATTTTCACAACAACCCTATGAGGTAGGTGCTGTTGTGGGCGCCCCCCTTACAGGCAAGAAGACCAAGGCTCAGAGATGTGAGGTCACTTGCCCAAGGTCACACTGAGGGATGTGGTTGGGGAGCTGCAGACAGGGAGTGGGTTTTTGAGCTGGGAAGCAGCAGGGTCAGCAGGGAGGTGAATCTGGTTGTGGGTTCAGCTGCCAGGACAGAGGGAGTGAATGCAGGAGTAAATGTTGCTGGAGACACAGCAGGTGCTACAGAAGAGGTATTTGTCCAAATGAGAGGACTTGGCCTTTATCATTGCCTAGGATGGAGATGGAAAATTTCCTGATGGTGTATAGAAGCTGGAAACAGAGTTAGCATGAGTTTCTCTCTGGACGAGATGATGTTTTGGGGCGCTTCCAGTCAGATGGTTGTGGGGGTTAAGAATCCAGGCTCTGGAATCCGACTGGCTGTGTCCAAGTTCTGTGTATATGGTTGGGAAGGGCTCTCACCTCTGAGCTGTTTCCTCGTCTGCACACTCAGGATCGAGGGAGCTGCTACCTCGCAGGGTGGATTGGGTTGAAGCAAGGCGCCGCTCCAGGAGGGAACTGTGGGCCGGGGCAGCCCTGTGGGAAATGCTGCACAGACTTCAAGGGAAATAGGGCCAGATCATTGCTGTGCCTTTTTTTTTTTTTTTTTT